TCATCAGTCAGTTGCAAATTAGACTTTGGTACTGTGACGTTTGACTCGTGAAGAGGAAACCCGCTGTCCTTCCATACAATTTCTGGAATTTGTACACCTTGGAAAACACAAAGATTTGCCAATTAATACAACAAAAATGACAAATTTTAGCATAGCTCAAACATTCTTTGTCACCAAAAATATATTGTGGAGATACAAAATAGTGGGAATTTTAATTGCACCCGAGTCTTCTATAGACTAATATTGACGACTCAGGTGCAATTAATAAAATTCTGTCGAAATTTTATGTAAATACAATATTGCAATAATAAAAGAAAAACTTTTTTCACCTCCTCTGTAAATTTCAAAAATATTTCTCCTTAGGGACATTTTTTGTGTGTAGCATATTTAATGTACAAAACATTTTAAAGTGCTTTACATGACAAAACAGACACAATTATTAAATTATGATATTTAATCTAAAATTAGTTAGCTGACATACTTAGAAGCATGTTTTCTTCAAAATGAGTTAAAATGAACTGAGAAAACAAAGGGGATTGTTTATAGTGTTTTATATATATATATATATATATATATATATCTATATCTATATATAGATATAGATATATAGATATATATATATCTCTATATATAGATATATATATATATCTATATATATATCTATATAGATATAGATATATATATAGATATAGATATATATATATATCTATATATATAGAGATATATATCTATATATATATATATATATATATATCTATATCTATATATATAGAGAGATATATATATCTATATCTATATATATAGATATAGATATATGTATATCTCTATATATATATATATATATATATATATATATATACATATATATATATATATATATATATATATATATATATATATATAAGAAACAGAAAAAAATCAGAAGAGCATTTCACTAAATGTATGGGATTAATAAACCTTAAATCAGTTTATGTGTGTATGTGTGAAACGTGTCAGTTGTGTTTGTGATTCCAGGTGTCTTTGTTCATCACCTTATCTATAAAGGTTTATTCTGTTGGGCTTATGTACTGCTTAATGTGTAAATGATGTAATCTGAACTTATCAAGGTAAAAGTTCAGGTTAAGGACTAGTTCTTATTCAAAATCAATATTCATAATTTTTGAATTTTGATTTCCTTTGGCCAGGATGGGGATTGAACTCATGACCCTGGCATTTTAAGCACCACGCTCTGATCTTCTGAGCTAACCAACCATACATTATGTTGTGTTTTCCTTGAACTAGTAGAAACTTACATGATTTTAACAAAGGTGCAGACATTTTTCAAAATTGATATGCATAGTGTTTGATTTACCATGATTTTGATGTGTTGATTTTCTGAAGACTTTAGATTTCATTTGGTCAGGATGGGGATTGAACCCGTGACCTTGGCATTATGAGCGTAGGGGATAATGCCTAAGCTCATAGGCATTTGGGGGCCTTGAGTCCTCGACGTGGACATCGCGGGTTCGATTCCCGGACCAGTTGATATTCACCGCATGTCTTCCCCCCTCTCCCTGCCCCCTCCCTGTCAGCCTAGTATCAAATATACTCTGGAAGGGACAAATACCAATACATAAAAATACAAAAAACACAAAAAACCACAAAACCAAAAAAGTAAAGAATAAGCAACGGAATGGAAAGTGCGCAGAAACCAATAGCTAATATAAACATTCGTTCCCATACGTCATCCGATACTTCCACTTCATCTGAGAATATTGGGGGAGTTATTCCAGCCTTAGGAGTGGTCTCAGAAGTTGAGCTGTCTGGCATAGTGAAAGTCCTTGCAATAAAAACGTGCTGAGTTTCCAAGAGCTAGTTCGATATGAACTGGTGTTTTGAAACACAAGCATTCATAACCTCAGGTGTTCTTTGATCTAGAACCGCGTGTCATAGATGAGGTCATAGCTGCAATGAGCTCACTGTGGTTCCGTGGGAATGTTGCTCTGGAGACGATCAGATCAGTTCTGGATGGCCCATCCAGAACTCAAGGATGGGTCAAAGAAACATAGCCTTCTGTTGAACAGGAGACTGACTGAATGTTAATATGTTTCTGAAAAAATAACAGATACACTAGAAAAAACAATTACGAAATTATCTGCTGAAAAAGAAAGGCACACATTAAATATTAATAAAGCAATTCATGTGATGTGAGAAAACTGTCTGCTGCAGTTAGTTCCCCACCAGGCCACTAGACGGCGGACGTGCTAAAGACGCTAAGCTGCAGTCATCATTCATTTAGTATAAATTCTTCAGGACACATCAATGCATGACTGCAAGTTTATTGCTAATGTTCTGCAAAAATGGCCAAAAACTATTGCGTTTAACTGATCCACTAACAGGATGGAGAAAATGTCCACACCTGATGTTTGTGCAAGAAACAAACATGTTCAGCTTTTCAGATTAAAGTTAGTGAAGGCAGGGAGTCAGTCTGCATTTAATTTTAATTTCAAATCGACATTCAATAGTTTTTGATCCTGGATTAGTGAAATAAAATCCCAAATAGATACAAAGATAAAATTTTTGCGTGGATGTAGGAATCTTCTATTAGCAGATAAAATGTCTGAGGCGAGGTAAAGGCTTCTGAAATCCTGACGGCTGAGTTATTTACACAAACGGGAGTCTCCTTGGATGTCTGACGTTGCCAGGAGTCGCGTCCCTGAGACGGAAGAGGCGGGGCGAGAAGACACTCCTGCATATCCTGGTGTGTGACATCCTCAGGAGGCTGAGAAGCGGCCCCATGTGGCAGGCCTCTGTTAGCCACGGCAGCATGTCAGGACGGGCTCCTCTCTGCCCCGTCCTGACATGCGGAGCAGCTGTCAGCGCTGACGCCTCGCTCTGTTGTTACGCATCAGTAGCTGCAGAATGCAGAGTCAATATGCCTGCTGCAATGTAAACAGTTAGTGTAAACCGGGCGTGTGTAATTGGACGCCAGTAAAAGGCTTTCTGTTTGTAGAAGAAACTGGTAATGAAATTACTTACTGGTTCCTTACACTCACGCATCCATGTTTGTATTAATGCCCATGTTAGGACTTCAGATTGACTTCCAGTCAGTAAAACTTTGTTCCATATTTACTTAAATTAATTAACGTAGTAGAGGTCTGACTACTGCTATAAGTATGTTGTTCTTTCAGAAAATTGCCTTTTTTAAAATGTATTTTATGTTAATCTATTCTGCTAGTTTAGTTGGCGAATATTTCAATTATTGATCAATCACTGTTAATCCGTTTAATTGTTTCAGTCCTTATTCTGACCATATTAGTGACTTCATTTATGCCTACCCTTAACTTTAACCATAAGCAGTTTTTTCCTATTCCTTAACCTAAACTTAACCCTGTACTCTTAGCGCCGCTTTAAGACGGGGCTTTGGTTCCCATAAGGCCCATCCGTCTTCAGTTGGTTAATAAGTATAGCAGAACAAGTCCAACACAAACAAGGACACACAAACACGCATCCTTCATATCACATTAGTTGCGAGCTGCTTGGGTTTGTGACCTTTCCCGTCGTTAGATTGATAGGACCTCAAATGGCTTCAACTTTGAGCCATTTGAGGTCGGCACTTTTGGGTCATCCAGTTAAGTGACAAGCCTTAGGTTGATGGAAAATCTATAGCAGCACCGCCATACATTACCTTTATATGATTGGGGGGTTCTCTGCCCGCCGTCCACAGGGTGGACCCCTGAGTGCCTGCAAGTGCTGTAAATCACTCCGTGCTATTGATTTTCCATTAGAAATCGGCGGCTCTGAGCCCCTCTGACACGCTGCTCACAAACACCTTGCTGGGTGGAAGTGGGAAGCAACATGAGGTCATGTGACTCGGGTCGAGTTCGCCGAAGGGAAACCATGAATCTAGGATCTGTTCCTGTTTCATGCAAGAAAGCTTTACAGCAAAGAGGAAAACTATTTTACAGTTTGATCCAATCGCTGATTCCAAGTGTCTCATCCAGGACTCAGCTATTGGGTTGTTTTGGTGAAGTTTTATTTGTTTATTATTATTATTAAAACTTTAATAATCCCAAGAACTTATCTGAAATGGTTAACAATTTAATTAGATTGCCCTGACTGCAATCTCATTAAATATTTGTAATTTTAAATGAGCTGTATCAATTCTATCAACAAGAGAGATCAAATAGCAGCCAGACTTTCTTTTTTCAGGAGTTTTATAGTAAATAAAAGTAGCATATGTTTGAGTTGGAAACACTTCAGCAATGATTTCCTGAAGTAAATTGTTGTCTTCAATTCATCTTGAGGAGAGGTATTGAAACCTTTTGCTATGTTGGCTAAAAATTTCAGTACCGCTGGGTGATGAATTTGTATTTTTATTTGTTTAAAAACACAAAAATGATTCTGTTCATTTAATAGGAACATAGTCAGGTTTATATTAAAATGGATTTATAAACCATTGTAGATCTAAAACATAAAAACAGTCTTCCTGGTTTCCTATGATTCTATTTCTATAAAAAGAAAACAGCTAATACAAGACAACAACTTAATTTTTAAGAACATTTTAATTTGTATGTTACACTTGAAAAGAATTGCAAAACTATTCTTGAGTTCAAGTTGTGGAACATGTAAAATCATTCCAAGGACCACGAATGGCCCCTGCTCCTCACTTTGGACATCCCCAGTCAATTTTAAGTCCAAGAATCTCTTTATAAAACTATTGCTGGGTTTTATTGAATGGCCACTCAACCCTAAAAACAGTGAAGTGCAGATAACTTGAAAATGAATTTTATGTTTTCTCTGTTGGCTCGAGTCTTCCCGGAAACGGAGACGCTGCAGCTTGTTGGCGTAAAGTGACGCCTGATTTTCAGTCACACACTCCATGCATGCACAGCTGCAGCAGCATAAGAGACAGGAGATCAAAACAGAGATGTTTGATTATTAAAAACGTCTCAAGATGTTTCTTCTTTACATGATAACTGTTTTGACCCATTTCTTCCTTTTTCCTCTTTTTATTGCAGACAGTAAAAGCGTTCAAGCCCCACTTCTTGGCCCTGCACTGTCAGGAGTGTGGTGGGAAGAGTTCGCTCTTATCCTTGAAGCCGGTGAACTATTTCATCGAGTAAGTGTGTCACTTATTATCCGCTCTAATTGATTTTACTGTGGAAATCTGAAATAGAAACTGAGCAAACTACTCCCCCCTCTGGCCGCTTCGCGTCACCTCTGGTTTGTTGTGTAAAATGAGATTTAAATGCTCCATTATCAGTGCTCCATCGGTTTATCAGTGTGTGAATGTGTGTGTCTGTCAGGGCGTTGATCAGCTCTGACGAACTGACGGACTACAACAGAGCCCGCATCTACATCGACAAGACCCAGGAGAGCCCAGAGTATTACACGGTGAGCACAACAATTTATTCAGCCCAAATCTGTTTGTTTCCATAAATTGTGTGTTGCTTGTCTAAAGTGCTCATCATTGGGGTAATTTGGGATATTTTATTCATTTGTTTAGCAGAATAACGCTGTGACTAAGCTTGAATTTTGTTTTTTAAATTAACATTTGATGTGTATATATACATACCCTTCCACCTATACTTTGTTAGCAAGTTGAACCTCAACCAAAGGTAATTTATTTGCATCAACCAGGTGAATATTTAGAATAAAAGAGAAGTTTCTTGGATTGAAACTCAGATGAATCGTGATGGCTCGATTATTGGAATCAACAAATTTAGTCATCGTTAACTGCAGCATGCAGGCTGGAAAAAGGCCACTTGCTAAAGGAGCAACATAGTCAGAGCAGCAATTAGGGCAAAATTGTATATAAAAAAAAAGTATGTTTTGCATTTAATTTGAAAAAGTGTCTTTCTGTAAAAATGTTCTACCCAAAGCTGCTGAAGTAGCATCGTTTTAGCTTCACCTGGCTCAAATTCTGTAAAGAAAATCTCATATTAACACCTTTTGCTATCAAATTATTGATCAGTAATCAAAAAATAATCAACAGATCAACTTTACACAAAGTGTTGATGTGGTCAAGCAGAAAGACATGAGCTTAGAGGTATTTTTTTACTGCAGATGCATCTCTTGGTAAAAATGAAAACTTACACTATATGCTATGTTATTGCGTTTTGTAGACTATAATTTTTTTTTGTTTATTTAAAAAGTGTGTGGTGTCTAGTTACATTTAATTGAGTACCTTTTTGGAAAGTATTTACTTTTAAGAGTAGTTTTTTACTTTTTCTGCACTATAATTTGTATTTTATTTGAGTAATATTGTCAGAGGAAGTACTTCGCTGTATATACATCACTAACTATAAATTTAGTTTCAGAAAGTCTATTTTGGAAAAACTTAAATTTAGGAATAGTGCTTCTGATTAAATCTAGTTGTTTTATTATTGTATGAATTTTTATTAAAGTTTTGTCTATCAAATGAACATTATGTTAGATTTTGCTTTTGTCTTCCATAATTTTGTATTTTAAATCAGATGTTCTGAACAGGTATGTAGTTCATTAGTACCCTTTTCTATCAAATACGTTTTTACTTGATTAATTAACTACTTTTTCTTTACTTGAATAAAAATATGTTGAAGTGGTAGTTAGTTAAAATGTTTTGCTAATTTAAGTGTAAGTGCTGATAAAAAGTGACAGAGCTCATCTATTATCACTGATCCACGTCAATTTATTAATTTCTTTTTACTCCAGTAGTCAGAACTTATAAAGTTTTATAAAAATTACTAAAAAAACACTTCTGACAGAAAGTGTGAAGGCAATATTACCATCGGAAACCATCGGAAACGTTATTATTTATCTCTGTGTCGTCCGTTACCTTGGTGATGACCCATTCATTAAAGGCTCATTTTGCTATTTTATGACTCAACTGTGCTGTGGCAGTGATTGCAGATGGCCACCAGGGGGCAGCAAATATTCAGAAATAAAGAGGCCAAAAGCTGAGAAAGCGACTGCTGTTCAAAATCTGGATGACATTTATACAGAGATGGACTCAGAATTAACTGTCAAGTGAATGATAAACATAAATTTTACTCTAAAAAGAAAAAATATATTAAAAATATGCAGTTTTGGGATAAACAACAAAGTAGTTCATAGCTAATTATAAAGTGGTGATAAGTGCTGGTTTAATTTCAGGAAACCTGGTTAGCATCTTGCAAAGCAATGTGTGTATAAGAAAACTGACACTTCAAATCAACCTGAACACAAGAGGTGAAGCACGGTGGTGGCAGCATCATGGTGTGGGAGTGTTTAAAACTTGTGAGAGGCTGCAGATTTTGACACTGGAGCGAGGTTCTCCTTCCAGCAGGACGAGAGTAAACATCCAGTCAAAACCTGCAAAGAATGGATAACTTAAAAGTCTGTATCATATTTTAGGATGACCTAGTCAAAGCCTACAATTAAATCCTAATGGGAATGAGAGGCAGGATGTAAAGAGGAAGATCACACATGCTTTCTGTCCAATCTGACCGAGATTGACATGTTTTTCAAAGAATTAGTGGGAAAAAGTATTGTCTTTATTTTGCTTCACTTCAGAACTATTCTTTTTTTCCTGCCACATAAAATTCTAATTCTGGAGCCAAACAGTTGAACTTAGAGGTATAATGTTTAAATCTGAGGCAGCATTGAGCTTAAATGTTCAATCAATAAAGTAATTATCTGCGTATTCCTATGGAGCTTTCACAACAACAATATATGTGTGTTTTGTCTATGGACGACAGCAGCCTCTCCGCTGTTTCCCCACGCTCTGCTGCTTCTCCACAAACGCTCATTAATCAAAGCGCCTGCAGAGTCACATTTGCTCTTTTCAGAAAAAAATTATTCCAAAACCCTGGCCTTTTCACAAACATAATTATCTGCCGTTTCGTATAAGCTCCACCGCCATTTGTTCAGCGCTGTTTGTCTGTACATTAACCTTTTTAGTCCTACTTTGATTCCCATCAAATAGAGATAGCAGTTTGTGCGAATCGGCCGGCGGAAAGAGAAACATCAGACGTGTTTCCTGCGTCGTTGGTATTGAAATCCCAGCAACAGTAAATATGAAGAGACTCTCCAGTCGTTTCACACACCGGGCTTGCCATTTAGCTTTGATGACATCACCGTGTTTGTTTTCCCAATCTTCGATCTGTTCTCTTCCCCTCAAACGCGCTCCTGGGATAATTGTTTGTTGCCCGGCCCGCCTGTCGTTTTTCAGATAAAATAAGCCGGAACGCTTCTTTTTCTTTTTTCTTTTCTTTGTGCTGTTGTGTATGAAGCGTCTTTTAAAGTAAAGGTTTTGGATGTTGTGAGTGTGTAACGCCCATCGGAGTGTTTACGTGAGTGTTTTGATGGATGAGATGAACGCGCGTGTGTGACACTCAGTAATGAGACTATTGATTTATCTTCTCTCAAATCTGAAAAACTGTTTGATAATCTCATGTTTTTCTGAGATAAAGTTTTCACTTTGAATGCACAGATTTTTTAAAATAAAAACTATTGAATAATTTTGTATGGATCAAAACATTTTTTCAAAAGTGAATCCACTTCATAAGTCATAGATGTTTAATTTTTGTTTGTTTTGATCATTCTGGCCTAAATGGAAAATATTTTTAATCCTGGAATGTGATGTTATGGACAAATTGTCCAGCAGATGTTTGTCTACTAAAGAAGCGGACTTGTTATTAAAAAAAAACATCTAGTGGAAGGAAAAAGTGCAATTAGACAGCATCTTCTCTGGGCCATTAGTTTATTTGCATGTGTCATGTACCTCCATATATTGAATGGCAGGTCTTTTAGGAGATTTTGTTGAATGAAATGCAAAAGTTAATTTCAATTGAAAAGAGTAACAACATCTTGAATGTGCTTCTCTTCACAATTATTCCACAAGTTTAGTTATTCCTGTTGCCTGTGCAAACTTTTCTTCCATCTTTTTGCCCTCCACTCAATTTTCCAGCTTTTGATGCAGAAATTTGTGAAGAATCATTTTTAATCATTTTTATTTGGTTTTAGTTAACATCCTGATTTCTTGAGGAACAAAAATAGTTTGTTTTTTATTAGCTTTAAGGGGGTAAACATTAAAATAAACAGAAATAAATCATTAAGATACATGACTTCCACTTTTTGGACCAAAGTACTAAAATACATGCCAGTTTTTTTTTTTATAACAAATTCTGTTTAATTTGGGATATATTTTGAATTTAAATTGACTGAATTTAAGCTTTGAGATGGTTGAAAAGATTCACATGAGGGAAAACAAACTTGTGTTTCATAATCCTGAAGCCAAATCTGAAAGACAGAGTGCAGATCTCAGCGGGCAGCATTAGCCTGGAGGAGCTTGACTGACACGTCCGGCGGTTTCACGGCTCTGTTAAGGTATACAGCAGGTAAAATGTCAATTAGGAAGACCCGCCCTGATAACTCAACTCCCAATCCACTCGTTCTCGCCCATTAATATTTATCGGAGCGATGTGAGGCGGCGTCACCAACTCCTGACATACAAACCGGAGCCGCGGCGTCCCTGCAGCTTAACGGCAGCGTCCGCCGCTGTCACACAGTTCAATCAGGCCGCCGACACACACACGCTGCCTCCTCTGGTTGGAGTTGTTCCAGGGCATTTTAATAGGAAATTAAAGGCATCCCTTGCCTGTGTGTGTGTGCGTGTGTGCCTGTGTGTGTGTGTAGGGTGTGTGTGTGCCTGTGTGTGTGTGTAGGGTGTGTGCCTGTGTGTGTGTAGGGTGTGTGTGTGTGTGTGTGTGTGTGTGTTTGGTCTGCAGGACAGGAATGAGATCAGTGACAGCGGATAAATCAGGATCTGTGCCTTGACAGGATGCTGCTGTCTCCGTTTACCCCGGGTTCATGCGCACACATGAGTGCAGATGAAATGTCCTGACATGATGGAGTCCGCTGAAGGACTGAGTCCAGTTCTGTTTCCGTCCTGGACTCAGGAATTTCACAGAAAGACTCATGTCTGAGTGTATTTAAATGGTTCTTACTGATGTTGAAATGTTAAATGACACACTCTCAAGTCATCATTGTAGCAACAGGGCAGGTCAAAGTGGTTTACACTATAAAAGCACAACACAGTATTCAATTATGAAACAATTAGTAAGTTTTGTTTTATCAAAAATATCATGAAATATGTTTGTCAGTATTCCATTTATTTGTCATAAAAGACAACTCTAAACAGGTTGAGTTTTAGCCTTGATTTAATTGAACTGTGTTCCAGCAGTTTTGCTGTTTTCTGGACGTTTGTTCCAGATCTGTGGTAGAAGCTGAATGCTGCTTCCCCATGTATGATTCTGGTTCTGAGGATGCAGAGCAAACCAGAACCAGCAGACCTTCAGTGTGTTATGGTGCTAATTTATTCAGTGATTTATAAGCTATTTATAAATAACGTTTTAAAGTCCTTTCTCTGAGGC